TCGGCGAGATATGTTTTCTTCTGAAAAAGAGGATTAATGCTGATATCTGCTATTAAACATCTTTTGAAGAAGTGGAATGATGCCAGAACAACGGTCTTAGAATGGCATCCAAACCAGGTTGAGGTTAATAGGCTTAGGGATCTCTACAATTACAATGCTATTAATTACTTCTGAAAAATCCTGAAGAAGAGAGAAAAGCAATCAACATTAGACAGATTCTTTAACCCCCACAAACGAAAAAAACATGACTAATAAAAATGCAAGACTGTGTATATATGTATTTTTATTATTACATATAAATAAACATAGTAAGAAAGTATATATTTTTTTATTTTTGGGGGTCTCCAGAATGAATTAATCAAATTTCCATAAAAACCTATGGTAAATCGATAATCGGTTAACGAACAATTTGGATAGCAAACAAAGTCTTGGAACGGATTATGTTCATCAACCGATCATCCACTGTATTAAAATTAAAATATCAATTTTTTTTCAGTTTTCAACTGTTATAAAATCATCAATTTTTAAAGCAGTATAACAAATAGATTTTTAGTATAAAATCAAGAGTATATCAACATTCAGAATATTTATTTGGATACTTTTTAAATCAGTATATTTTTTATATTTTTGTGCTTTTGACATTTTTATACCATATACAATGAAAGAAGGTAGCATAAAACACATTAAGATATTGACTAATAACTGCTGGAAATGTTGGTTAAAAATTAGAACAAAAAATATATCACAGTAATTTTTCTGTTTAAGAAAAGGATGCCATATTTTTTCTTGTCAAGAAGGACTTAAAATATAAAGATGATTATTTTCTCAAAATACTAAAAATGTAAAATCTTCCTTTATAAAAAATAATATAAAATAAAAACTATCTTTTCCAAAAATAATTTTGTAATATAAATTATGTAATTATTTTTTAAAAAATAATATGAAATAAGAAGAACTTCATTTAAAATAAATTCTGCATGAAAAGAATTTTAAATACTGTAACATTAAATGACACTGTCATTTTTTTCACACAAGTATCTATTTTGTGAAAGGAAAAACACTTTAAAATCCTAATAGATTATTATATCTTTACAAAAAAAATCTGCAAATATATTTAATTAAAAATCACGTTATAAAGTTTAGCTATTAAGAAAATTTTTAAAAATGTATTTAGTTATTTTCTATACCTTTCAGTAGTTTGACAAACTTGTTTATTATTATAAAATATCTTAAAATATATTTTTCTTTTTGAAACTTCATTTCTTCTTGCTTGTTCTAATCTGAAAGTGAATTAATATTTTAATGACTTATTTCGTTTCTATTTTTAAGAGCAAATCATTAATTAATTAACCAAATAAAATACTGCTTAAAATATCATTGTTTCCCATTCTTCACCCAAGCTTGCCAAATATTTAAAATTTTTTTAAAACTATACATTCTATTTTTAGAAAATCTTTAAACATATGAAATAATCAATACAGATATTAGTTAGTTAACTTAT